TGCTTCTCCTTTCTCACTCATTTTAATCATAGCTATTAAGCACTTTCACTGCCTTGAGTGCAACACACCATTGCATTTTACAGCAGTCTATAGATGAAAGAATTGGATCAGAGAGATGAAATCACTTTATAAACCAACACAATTTATAAGTAATGGTGCTAGAATTAAAACCTATTTTGGGGCTGGGGAGATGACGGCCTATGGGTAAAAAGTGCTTGCTGTGCAAGCCTGAGGATCTGAGTTTGATTCCTGGAATCCACATAAGGTGGAAGGAGAGAATCAGCACCACAAAGTTGTTTTTTGACCTCCACATGTGCATGTACACTCACTCACATGAGACATACATATGCACTCACACAATAATAAGATTAAATAAGTTTAAATAAATAGGCCTGTTGAGATGACTCAGTAAGTAAAGGCACTTGCCAGCAAGCCTGATGATCTGAACTTAATCCAAGGAACCCACATGGTAGAAGGAGAGACCTAACTTCTGCAAGTTATCCTCTGACCTTCACAAGCACATTGCGGCATGCACATGTGTGCCAACACACACACAATAAATTTTTAGAAGCCTGTTCTGATATAGTACTCTACTCCTTACTTCCCAGTTGTATTTATCTAAAGTTTTTAAAAAGTTTTTTTTTTTTAAAATTATTTTGTGTAATTTTGTGTATGAGTGTTGTGTTGTGTATGTGTGTGTGTGTGTGTGTGTGTGTGTGTGTGTGCGCGCGCGCCCATTTTGTGCATTGCCCACAGAGACCAGAAGAGGGCATTAGATTCCTTGGAACTGGAGTTAAGGGCAGTTATCAGCTGCCATGTGGGTGCTGGGAACCATACCCAGGTTCCCTGGAAGAGAGCCATTTCTCTAACCCTGTTTTCTTTTTTAATATTTTATTTATTTATCTTTATGTGTGAGTGTATTGCCTGTGTGTGTGTAAGTATATCTGTGTCATGCAATGCCTGTGGAGGTCAGATGAGGGTTTTCGATCCCCTGGAACTGAAGTTACAGTTGTTAGCTGCCATGTGGGTACTAGTAATTGAACCTGGGTTCTCTGCAAGAGCAGCCAGTCAGTGCTCCTAAATGCTGAGCCATCTCTCCAGTCCCTTGATTTCGTTTTTAAAGTAGATTTTACTTTTTTTGTGTTTATGTGTGAATTTTTTTGTGTGTGTGCACAAACGTGCATGTGCAACGTGCATGTGAAGGCCAGAGAACCTTGGGTGTCTTTCCTTAAGATTCTGTCCACCTTGTTTTTTGAGACAGGGTTTTTCACTAGCCTGGAATTCTTAGGCTAGGCTGACTGACCATAAATTACAAGAATCCTGTCATCTTTTACTTCTCCAGTGCTGAGATTACAAGCATGGGGCACTACACCTGACTTTCTATGTGAGTTCTGGGGATCAAACTCGAGGTCCTTAGTCTTGCACAGCAAGCACTTTAATGACTAAGCTATCTTTCCAGCCCCAGTCTTCTTTTAGTTTGTTTTTTGAGGGGCTTGCGTAGGTGTGGTATGTATGCATATTCATGTATGGGGGCAGAACCTGCAACAGAATACAAAATGTATGATAGTCACTAGCCTAGCCTTGTGGTCTTTTTTTTTTTTTTTTTTTTTAAAGACAGGGTCTTATATCCTTATCCTCTGCTGGTCTGGAACTAACTATGAATCCTAAGAACTTGATCCTTTTGCTTTACAGATGTGTGCCTCTACACCTAGCAAGAAACTGAATTGTTTCTATTGGTTTTTTTGGTGGGGGAAGCAGTGTTGAGACAGTCTCATTATGTAGCAGTGGCTGGCTTAGAATTCTCTATGTAGTCCAGGCTGGTGTTGAACTCAGAGAGATTTGCCTCCCTCTGCTTCTAGAGTGCTTGGATTAAAGGCATATACCACGATACCTGGCTTCAAGACTTTTATTTTGGCCCTAGGTTCTCTTAAGCCTGCTTCACCTTTAGCTCACATTTAAAATATGAAACTTGTGTTGCTGGGCATGGTAGCACATGCCTTTAATCCCAGCACTCAGAAGGCAGAGGCAGTTGGATCTTTGTGGGTTCCAGGCCAACCAGTGCTACATAGTGATACCCGCTTTCAAGGAAACAAAACAAAACAAAAAATAAAGCAAAAAAAATTTGGAATTTTGGGAGTCTCTGTGAAATAATACACATTTAAAATTCTGATTTGGAGATAGGTCATTTATTGGATTTTGACAATTTGTTTTAAGCTTTCAGAGAGTTCTTAAAAGCAAATAGGTAAATTCACTGTGTCTATGGTCATGCATGCATGTGCACTGGCAGAACCTAAGAGCTGACCTGACTTGTGACTTAGGAGTGGTGAGTAAAGGTGGACTCAGTTGCGAAAGGCAGCATGTGCAAAGGAAGGGAAGCCAAAGAACATATTGAACAGGAAGCCATCATGGAGTTAATTAGGAACTTATGAATACAGCATGTACTGTTGGGTTGTGGTAGAGGTGATAAAGTTGAAATGGCAAGCAGATTATAAAGATGTGGTGCTTGATTAGAACTGTAGACTTTTGTCTTCTAAAGGATCTCACCTTTATGAACTGCTGAGGCTTCAGAATGGTCTAAGCTGTAGTCTTATCCAGGATTCAGGGCTCTTTACTACCTCCTTCCTATAGACAGATTAATTTAAAACACTTATGGAATGTATTAGCTATTACCTATAAGCCTTTATTTGTTCACATTTGGAAATATTCAAAAGTTTAGGCTACTTTTGTGGTAAATATACAACATTGTAGTCAAAATAACAAAAGGTCAGTGACTATAATCTGCCACCATAGCCAGCACAAATGAAGTCATTGATCATTATATTTTATCAAACATCTATCTGGAAAGAGCTTGTCACCTGGAAGTTCCTCTTGTATAAAAGAAGAATCCCAGACTTAGAGCTGTTTAGGGATCTCATGCTATAGTATAGATGACTTATAGTACCAAAACAAACAGACATGTTGGTTATTTTTATTGACATTTCAGAAATTGGTTTAGGGTAGTTAATGAGACAATGAGGTAAATGTGGGATTCAAACCCAGTTCCTTTCCATTCCCTTTCCCTATGTACCTGTCTCCATGTATGGTGAGCAAATACAGACTTTGCCATGTATCATTTCAGGTTGCTGGTACCCTTACTTGATGTTTTAGGAAATAGTATGTTTCTCATCTGTCCTTGAAAGCAATTTATGGTCATCAGCCAAAGCTTTTGAGCTTGTGTGTGTGAGTGTGTGTGTGTGTGTGTGTCTTGTCTGTCTGTCTCAAATTTTGGCAGTCCTCCTGAACCCTGGGATTACAGTCATGTGCCCCTCACTATGCCCAGGAAAGTATGTTGCTTAATTTCAAAACAAGCTTTTAGTTAAATGATCAACAGTATTAGAGACTAATCCTTTATTATTTATTATTTTGTTGGTTTTCTGGGATTGAACCCAAGGCCTCATACATGCTAGGCAAGCATGCTACCACTGAGCCATATCCCTGTGCATTTATGGGGGTTAGGGGTATGCTTTCTACTGAATAACTGATATATTTTTTTCCTTTGAGTTGAATATAACTGAAAAAATCTAATTGAATGTATGTTGTGGTTATGTCTAATAAATGGTTTGGTTTCTTCTAGTTACAAATATTTTTTTTTTTTTCCTTTTGGCAAGGATTGAACTAGGAAATGCTAGGTAAACATTCTGCCACTGAATGACAACTCAGCCACAGTTACAAATAATTTTGCTGGGTAGATCTGGTTGATGAGAATCTGGGTACACTCTGCCATGGAATGTTAGCCAAACCATTGGCTACCTGACACTGACTTGTCACTAGGAGGTATATAATTTGTAAGTATGATTTGTTTTCCTTACCAACTCAGGCCTTCTGCATTAGTGGTGACCTATAAAGCCAGAGGCATTTTAGCCAGAAAGAGGGAATGTAGACATGCACAAAATTTCATAATTAGCACCTTTATGATCTTTTGGTAAGTTTCTTTATAAATGGGTATAGAGTCTTCTCCTAGATAGTAGTATATAGCTGGTATCACCACACTGAAAACATAAACATGATCAATAATCAGAGAGTACACTGGGATTGTAGCTTAGTTGGTAGAGTGCTTATCAAGCATGCACAAAGCCCTGGGCATAAACTAGACATGGTAGTACATATATGTAATTTCAGTGCTCAAGAGGTAGAAGCAGGAGGATCAAGTTTAAGGTCATCCTTGGCTACATACTGTGTTAGGGATCAACCTAGAATACATGAAACCCTCTCTCAAAACAAATTGGAGCAAGTAATTAGAGCAACAGTAGTGATATTAGGGTTCCATCACATATCATGAACAGTTTAGGAGTTATCCTTCTATAAGTATACTATGCCCCCATGGGCACAGCACTGAATTGGATCCACCCTCGCTCACATTGTTGACCTCTTTTAGTACTCTGTAAAGTCTTTATATGCATATTTTATTTAATAATTTTCTAAGAGCCCTACAAGATAGTGCTTTATCTCATAGCAGGGTAGAGTCAATCTTCTTTGTGTGCTATGCATTTAGAAACAGAGAGGAATTAAGTCAGCAAAGAAGAAGCAGAGTGTCATTAACAGAAGGAGGGAATGGTTGCTAGATAGTTAAAAGGAACATTTTAACTACTGTGTCTATTTTAACTACTTTTCTTATTTTCTTATTATTTTCTGTTGTCTTTGTAGAGGTCAGAATATTGGTTGTATTTGGAAAGTACATTAAATTTTGTCCTTTCTTGATACCGCTAATATAATCCTTCCATTCTATCAAGATACTAAGCTGCAATCCCAGTGTACTTTGTGATTGTTAAACATGTTTATCTAATTCTTTGTGGGGAGGTATTACTGGAAATTGATCCAAGGGCTTGCTCATCCTAGTCAAGGATTGAGCCACACTCTAACCTCAAGTTTGAATTTTTCTCCCATTATATCATTAAAAAAAAAATTTAGAGTCAACTTGGAATAATTAACAAATAATCCTTTTTTCGTATTGTTTTTCTTAGGTTTCTGTCAGGATGAATTGGCAGAACTTGATCCAGGCACTAGTAAGTTCCAAATGTTACAGTGTTTGTTGGTAATTAAAGGATGTGAATGTACACTTATACATGTATAGCTTAAGGTGTCTTTGATACTCCTTATTTGACTCTCATTTTATTTCTTACAATTATGTTTCTTTTTTCTTTTTCTAATATTTGATGGCTAGAGCTATCCCATTTAATAGAAAGCTGGTTTTCTGAAACTTTCTACTTAATATAAATCTCCCTGCTCTGTTCTCTACCTGTAGTAAAACCAGCAGCAACAACAGAAACTGTTCAGTTTATTTTTATATACAACCATATACTCAAAGCTACTTTTCTAAAGTAGTTATTAGTTTTCACAGTTTATTCAAAGCAGTTGTATTAGTTACATTTGTCATTACTGTAACAAAATACCTGACAAAAGAGACTTCAGAAGGAATGCATCTATATTTGCTCACAGTTTGAGGTGTACTTTGTAATGGCAGAAGGCATGGAAGCAGAGTGATTGTAGTTGTTGCCGCAGGAAGTGAGGTGGCTGGTCATATTTGTCTGTATTCAAGAGGCAGACATACATGAATGCTGGTGTTCCCATCATGTGGGAGGCAGAGGTGAGTAGATCTCTGTGAGATTGAGGCAAATCTAGTATAAATAATGAGTTCCAGGCCAGCTAGAGCTACAGAGGGACCTTGTCTTAAGAAATAAAAACAAGGGGGTGGAGAGATGGCTCAGTGGTTAAAAACACTGGTTGTTCTTGCAGAAGACCCGGGTTCAAATCCCAGCACCCACATGGCAGCTAACTGTCCGTAACTCCAGTCCCAGGGGATCTGAAAGCCTCTTCTGACCTCTGAGGGCATTGTACAACATGGGTGCACTTACCTACATGCAGGCAATACATGCACATACACATAAAATAAAAATAATAAATAATAAAAGAAAAGCAAAAAATTATACTTAGTGTGTGCAGCTAGTATTCTCAGGAGTTCCTACATTTTTTTAGTGAAGTTAATATTTTGTTCTTTGTCTTGAAGAAATACATAAGGACCTGATTATTGTAGTAATAGACAAATTTTTTTTTTTCTTTTTTTTTGTCTTTTTGAGACGGTCTCCCTGTAGCTCCAGCTGTCCTGGAACTCACTATGTAGACTAGGCTGGCCTTGAACTCACAGAGATCTGCTTGCGTCTGCCTCCTGAGTGCTGGGATTAAAGGTGTGTGCCACCACGCCTGGCAAAATTAAATGTTATGATCTCAATTTATGCTAGTCTTTGGGTTTCTTTGTGAACATATTTAACCCTGTTGAGCTATAGAAAGCCTCAGGACTGAAATGGGCTGTTTAAGTTGTATTAAATTAAGATTTTTTTTTTTTTCAAAAGACAGTGTCTCACTTTGTAGCCCAGACTGTCCTTGAACTGACTGTCATCCAGACTACCCTTAAACTCAAAGTAATCCTTCTTCCTCAGCCTTCTGAATACTTAGATTATAGGAGTGTGCTACCAGGGCCAGCCTGATGATGATGATGGGTAGTTTTAAGATTTATTTTTAAAATTTTATTTTTTAGACAGGGTCTCACTGTATAGTCCTAACTGTCCTAGAACTCACACATAGACTCAGGCTGGCCTTGAACTCACAGAGATCTGCCTGCTTCTCCCTTCTAAATGCTGGGATTAAAGGTGTGTACCACCAGGCCTGGCATTATTTCAATTTTCAATTGTGTATGTATGTATGTATGTATGTATGTATGTATGTATGTGTGTGTCTATATCTGTGTCTATATGTATGAGCATTTAAGTGTAGCTGTTCATGGAGGCCAGAGGAGGGTGTTGGATCCTCTGGGGCTAAAGTTACATAAGGCTCACAACCATGAGCCACCTTATGTATGAACGCAGCTTGTGCCCTCTGCAAGGGCAGTAAGTGCTCTTAACCTATGAGCTATCTCTCTAGTCCCTGATTATTTTTCATATTACACATTGTATATTTTGACTGGAAGGGATCACATCTTTGTACGTTAGATTGAGGATAATGATTGGTCTTCATTATTTTTATTTATTTACCATTTTATATTTATTTTTCATTATTATTACCTCCAAAGTCCTAGTCAGGAAAGCCTGCTCACATGTGTTGATTTTGTAACACCAACAGATTATAACAGGCAGACTCTTAGAACTGAGGAAAAACTTGCTTTGTCCAGTTCAGATGTCCTATCCACCTGTTCTGTGTAGAGTAGAGGAGCAGCCATGCTTTGAATGTTAGCTGCTGTTTACATTCCAGTGCTTTCCTACAGTTCTGAGCTTCCTGGAGTCCAGTGTTAAGGCACAGGTCAGGCTAAGTTCATTTCTACTAGAAGTGTCCCTATACTGTGCCCATCAACATAAGCTAGGGACAAGGGCAGTCAAAGGTCAAGAGAAGTTCAAATAGCATAACCTTTCTTTGCTTCTTTTTCTTAATAACCTCAGCCTGCCCTGCTCTGTGAGATTTTTCCTCAGCTATCGTGTTTACCGAGTAGTTGTAAAACTTAAGAGAACAAGGACTGACTTGATACAAGGGAAGTTAGAGAATACAAGTCATTGTTACGTAAAACAGGAGAAATAAGTGATTTATGTTTGGGGGCCAATTAGGCTATAAAACAGGAACAGTAAAGGGACCTGTGATTTCAGGACAGCTCTTGCTCTGATTTCGCTCTTGCAGACAAGGGGCTCCCCAGGAAAGGCAATCAGCTTTCTAGGCCAAATTATTAATTCCTTTCATGCTTCTCTGGGATTGTAAACATCACGTAATATGGTGAAACAATTGGTGCTGTTCAGTTATTGGGCAGATCGAGGGTCAAAGGGGAAATAGTTGGATTAGCAACAGCTGTTCTTCCTCCCCAGTCCAACTTTCGTCTCATCCATTTTAGCAAAGCTGTTCCTGAATTTTTGGCCTATATGTAATGAAGTTTGTTTTTCTACTTGTATTGTAATACAATCCTAAAATAATTACATTCAGAGAAAACATCAGCAAAAATAGAAAATGCATATTTCAATTTCCAAAGTTAAAGTTGAAGATCTTTTTGGTCTATGCTAACTATGTTGTATAATGTTCAAAGGTTCCTATCCAAAGGAAAGCAGCAACAGATTGGAATCTTTATAGTAATTTTTTTTTTCTTCCCTCAACTGATTAAGAATGCTAGATAGCTGAATTAAGAGAAAGAAGCTACCTTTGTTTCAGTTGGTAGTTGAATTTTATATTTCACTGTGGAAAACACTAAAAGAAAAATACAAGCACCCCTAATCTCATCACCAAGAAATAGCCATTTTTTTCTCACTTGAAAATAGTCCTTCCAGGTTTGTGTTTGAGCTCATCTTTTTCATAATTAATAATCATACTATATATGCAATTTTGTGTCCTGTTTTCCCTGACTTAGCAACTATTACATTTGGAGCTTTGTCCCAAGTCATGAGACATTCTTTTTTCATAAATATTTTTAATTGCAAGATTGTATTTCATTGAAAGGGAACGGCTTTACCATGATTTATTTTATTTTATTTTATTTTATTTATTTTTGTGTTTGATTTAGCCATCCTCTTATTCTTGGGCAGTTAGATTGCTTTTTGTTTCTACTTTTTTCCTTACATTATACATGATGCCAATGAATATATATA